TCCCTCTCTCTCTCTCTCTCTCTCTCTCTCTTTCTCTCTCTCTTTCTCTCCAAACTAACAACAAACACCCCCATGAAAGTATTTGTAAATAATAATATAATAACAAGCAATGCTGGTTTGCCCTGCCTTGTGGCTCAACACTCAACAGCTGCAAGAAGTGGAAGGGGGGAGGGAGGGGAGGGTCTAGGGGGAGGGTGGGCTTACCTGGCGTCACTGGCCTCTGAGACGACGATAATCCGATCACCCATAGGTCAGTTGTTATATCCCACACCTGTGGTAATCCTAATCCAATCCGAGAAGCCAATCGCACGGGTTATGATGACTCAGCACAGCAGACAATAGTAACAACTATCCAATTCAAAGTGAAGTGAACAATCCTCTCGATCAGATCCTGTTCCTTATTCAGAATTCAAGTTTAAAATCCAAACGTTTTGTTGTGGGGGGTTTTCTTCCTGCTGTGGGCTAACGTATGATTTTTTTTCTTCAGAGAAATAATTCGTACCTATACCTAGCAGATAAGAAAAGTCATGGTTTTAATGTGAAAGGTGACGTAGACCATGGATCCACCTGAAAATGCCTGAGAGTAGAACAGATCGATACACGACGGCGTTGACGTTAGGAAATAAAATCAAAATCGTGAGACTCAAGGAAGACTTACACGGGGTTTCTGTTTTAAGAAAGTTTCAGCAGCCACGGTAGATTTTTATTTAGGAAACAGGTTTCGATCCTGCCTATCAGGACTAATACAAATTGAAAAGGATACAACGTTCCAGAAAAAAGACCGAGATACTCGATATTAATCCTCCTCACACGAGAATCGAACTCCGGTCTTCTGTGCGAGACGGCAAAGCGCCTAACCAGTAACCACTACACCACAGGCGCTGGTTGCCACGAAAGAACATGATGGCAAAGAATAACATAACAGGTAACTGTAGAAGTTTCAGAATAAACGTCACCAACTTAAACAAATAAATGTATAAATGTCAAATCAATATATGACGCTGTTTTATCCTAATTTTCTTTTAAAATCCATTGGGAGTGAATTTCCGTACTA